GCTATGGAAGGAGAGTATGTTGGAAAATATATTTTTAGAAATAAATATTTTTCATTATGAGTTTACGGACGAATTGATAAAACTATTTAGCACACACACAAGCATACAGACTCATACACACACATACACATTACATGTATATATACACGTGCCTATGTGTGTGTTCGTGTGTGTGCATATATGCGTGCCTTTATGTATGTGCCTGTGTGTGTGTGTGCATATGTTTTGGGAATCACATTCTCTTTAAAAATACTTTCGATCTCTATTGGTGTGATATTAATTTAAATGTTTAAAAATACAAGGATGTTTACTCAAACACGTATACACATCAACTATAACCGTTATAATATTAAGGAATGTAATTGTGTGTATAGATATAGGTGTGTGTGTCTGTCTGTCTGGGTCTGTGTGTGTTTTCATAATTTATTTAAAGTATTAAACAACAGATCTAGATGCTTTACCTGATTTTTGACAGAATTGTTCTCATGCAACAAATATAATTTAAATGACTACTACCTGATACTGACAAAAACTTCATTACCAACTCGGTAAAGATTGTTTTATCCCACCCATGTGTTATCCTGACAATGTGTTATCAAACCCATGTGTTATCCCACCCATGTTTTAGCCCGCTCATATTTTATCCCGCCCATGTGTTAGCCGGCCTATGTGTTATCCCGCCCATGTGTTAGCCGGCCCATGTGTTATCCCGCCAATGTGTTATCAAACCCATGTGTTAGCACGCCCATGTGTTAGCCCGCCTATGTGTAATACCGCCCATGTGTTAGCCCACCTTATGTGTTAGGCCGCCCATGTATTGCTGGTAATATTTTATTTTTTCAAAAACACATTGCTGGTAATAATTTTCTACAAAGTATTTCTGGTATTAAAACCTAATTTTACACTACTATAGTGTTTTAACCCCAGTTTGGGGCTAACTATTTACCCATAGTTTGGACCCTAACAGATGCTAACACCCCGGGTCAGGGTGGACCTGGGAACACCAGCAATGTACTAATTATACTCCTCAAAATGTCCTGATCAAAGGTCTTGCTGTTGGACGTAGTTTATCGTCTTACCCAGGATGCGTAGTTTGTCGTCATACCCAGGACGGCTGTGGCGGGAAAATTAAGCTGAGTCACCCGTTTGGTAACCGAACATATACTCAGTCGCGTAGTTATATAAATAACAGTTTGAATTTAGTTATTATTTTTTTTTCCTGCAACTCCGTTACATGTTTGTTTGAGTGCATTTTTTTCTTTTCATGCTCAAAAGTATACCTTTTTGATGCCAGATTCTTTCTGGAGTAAGATGTTCATGACCCTTCACGGCTTCCTTTTCTTTATTGTTAATTAGCATGCGTTTTTGGGAAAGTTTCCCGTTGCCTAAAGAGAGAATACACACATTCATACCGTACCCAAGGGGAAGCTTTTTTTTTTATCTGAACGTCAAAGGAATGAATAAATAAAACACAATATTTTTTTTGAATTTCCATACTTCTTCCGGGTTGTTTTATAGTAACAATCTTTTTATATCGGTCAAGTAAATAATATTTTATTTTTCCTCATTATCAAATCATATGACCGTATTTTAACTGCATCTTTAAATTTAATACCTGTAGACAGGCTAATCTTGAAATTCTTCATCGCCCACGAATGACTACGAGGTCTTATCAAAACGTAACGTAGCTCTTGCTATGATAACGGATCTAAAGTAAGCAGATTGAAGTCGCTTGTCAGAAATTGGCCTTGAACACCATCGCACACACACATCAAGTTATCATGTTCTTTCTCACTTTTATTGTTTATAGTAATGCTTGTAAGGAAAATGCATAGAGTGTGGTTGTCACACCATACCACTGTGTTTCGATCGATGATCGTGACTTATTCAGCGCAACCAAGCAACCGAATACAAGATTCTCCATGTCCGAAAACCACCATATTCCTTAGAGCTCTTCCCTTGCCACTTTTCCCTCTTCAAAAACCAAATCTCACTTGAAAGGAACACGATTTCAAGAAGTCTAGAAAATCCAAGAGAAAGTGACGATGTAGCTACTCGCTATTCCACAAAAAGTAGTTCCAGAGATCATTTATTTTAAAAAGTAGAAATGACGCTGGATAAAGTGTTTGTGGGACTACTTCGAAGGAGATTAAATGTCGAATTGATATGTGCTGTAGTTGTCTTTTTATGTCACCAGTTCCGATACTTTTTGAGATCTCGTATTTATGTTATACAACAGTATTAATAAGAAAAATGATTGAAGTAGATGCAAGTAGTAATAATTTATTTGAACGCAATAGCCATGTTGATTTTAAACCTGGAGACGGATTGAAATAGAGAAAGATGCATTGCCAAAGCTAATCAAAATATTAAGTAACAAGAAAATTTCATTAGAAACAAAGTAAATAATGATGAACTGCTATGTAATATCAGTCGTCCTATATGGTATTGAATTCTGGGCAGTTTCGTCACAGATGACGAGAAGACTTCAGGCAACAGAGGTATGGTATTATAGAAGGATGCTAAGAATACCACGGAGAATGCATGTAAGCAATGAGGAAGTTTTAAGTTAAATGGAGAGAAAAAGGACACTTATATTTAGAATCAGAATTTTAGAGCTAAAATTTATGGGACGCAATAAACAAAACAGAATTTGAAGACACTGACATACTGAAGACCAGAGATTCAGAGGAAATTAGCGACTACTCTATGTAAATAGTTTCTGTAAGCTTATGATAGAACAGGGAAAGTAGGAGGAATAGAAAGGAGAAAACCATTGTTAAAACCTACGAAGGATAAGTTGGTTGGTTGATTTATTTCTTTAATGACATATCAACTTCTCATGGGTCATTTAATGGAGAAATTTAATTTTCTCGAGAGCTTTGAAGTAATAGAAATATGATATATGTTATTCTGCTTTCACAGTTGAATACATGGTAGATAATACTCAGCTTTTGTGCATATACATGTTTGTGGGGACATGATTACTAGAGCTGGTGTGTGTGCTTCATGTTGAATTTTTTTAAAGTTATATTTTGGAACAGAGTTTGATTTAAGAAATTGTAGGATATTATATGTATTAATGTCATGAATATGTTCTTCCATGTTGGTTGGTTGGTTTTGTTTGGCGGCATATCAACCACTATGGGTTATTTAATGACGAAATCTAAATAATTTGAACACAATTTTATGACTTCAACTAAATATATTTTGAACGTAATTGTATGCCTTCAACTAGAGATAAAATGGTTTGCTAGTTATTTTGTATTTAAAAATGTGTATTGTTGGCCAGTTTTTTTTTAATATAAAATATATATTGCTGGTATTTATATTATAAAAATATATTTTTATACTTTCATAATATTTTGTGTTTGTTTGAGGGTTCACTATTTACCAATAGCTGGGACCCTAACAGGTGCTACCACCTCACGAGGGATAAGTAGTTGTAGAGAGCCATGATCAACGATTTTGGAAATGAAGTATAAGACTGAAATTCGTGCTAGTTTCTGGGCAGTCCTAAAACTTAAGAATTGCGATAAAAAAACGAATCAGAAAAGAATCAAAAGTGAAAAATATTAAGAATGTTCCACCTAAGAAATTCCTACAATTTAAGGCAATGAGGTAATGGTAATGGTTTCTTTTTAAGGAAACATTTGACATTCATTGACCGAATAGCCATTGCTATTATCGGTTGATAAATTCTTTCTATTAAAACAATTTTTCAGGAAAATAAGTTTCTCAAGTCCACTGCTCTTTTCTGTATTGTTGGAGCCTTCATTTCTAACCATTTTGTTTGAATGCGGAACGTCTATAGTGGCGAGGTGTTTATGGGTTAAAATGAACAGTTGATTTACCTACGACAAAGAGGATTAATAATGAATAATGACGAAAAAACATGGTTAATTTTTAACAAAACAAGGAATTTATTTCCGAAATTATACGCTAGAAGTTGTATCAGTAGCTTTTTTCAGGAAAATAAACCCGTAGTTTTAACGAATTGTCATGAAATGGAAATGTTCATACAACAGGTTAAATGATCCGACATAAAATAATATTAAAAAATCTTTAAAAGAAAACTAAGAGAATTCGTGTCTCACAGAAGGAATATACGCTGGCATACATTCACAAGTTGACGAAGGGAGTTTGAAATAATTAGCATTCTTGGACTGTTTAAGGAAAATTCTTTGAAGTGCCACGTGTTTGGTTAACAGCCCATAATATAACTGACTAGTAAATTGACACTGGCGAAAACTTCTACGCTGGACGCGGTGAACAGAAACGAAACGTTTCACATGACTTCAGAAACTTTTCTCTTGTTAAATTTTCTCCTCATTTTATCTCAGAAAGAATTTCCCATTGTCTCGCTACTTTCTTTTCTTTGTTCTTGACTCAACGGCTAATTTCTGTGAAGATAAGGTTTTCAATTGTCCAAAGAAAATTTCACATAGGCTCGCGAATTGATTTCCGTCTATTTCCTAAGTTCACCAGTCAATTTCTGTGAAGGCAAGGTTTACATTGGTTTTACACGTCAACATCTTGATTATGTCATTATTTTCTCTTCGAGTTACATGTGCTATCTATTTTAGTTGCTCCTGCTTTTGACATCCTCAAGTGATGTGATTTTTGGTATTTTGTACGTTTCTTTGCGATTCTGTAGCGCCAGTTCAAGAGGTTCAGAGACAAATGGTGATCGTTAAGACGTCCATGCGTCATTCGGTAAGGAACTTAAACATTGTACCATTGTTAAGAAATAATGTTGCATTAATTTATTTTGTGGATTAGCCAATGAAATCATGGCGTATTATTTGTATTCCTGGCTGTATTTATTACGGTTGTAACCAAAGATCTTTTTTTTTTTACGAAGACATGAGTCAAGCGAATCCCTAGATTTTATTCGAATCCCTTAAATAGTCCACTCAGCATTTTATTTGAAAATATACACTTGCTGACTGGAAATCTGAAAAGATTAATCACTTCCTGTAACGGCGTATGTAATCTCCTTAACAGAGAGGCGTGCACAAAGGCTGAAATGCCGTTTTCAGAAGGTATCCGAGACGCATAAGCTGGATCAGAATGAAGAGAGAGAGAGAGAGAGAGAGAGAGAGAGAGAGAGAGGGAGAGAGAGAGAGAGAAAGAGAGAGAGATGTAAGGGTTCGGCTGGTATATCTTATGATATTAATGCCGGACGTGCTACAATGTTTGCAATGTCGGATAAAATATATCAGTTTTAACATCCACCGAATCTGGCAAAACAAGAATCGATAATGCTAGTAAATGTGATTGTCCACTCTTGATACTAAATAATTACACTATTTTTTTTCTTGGGTTTGTCAGGGTTACCGAAAAAGCAGTTGGAATTCAATCATTCTATAGTGACTCTAATTTAAAGAGGATGAGAATTTCTTCTTGGTTTTTGGCTACATCACGTTGAAACAGCTGTACGATCAGCGAAGTTAAGCAACGTTGAACCCGGTCAGTACTTAGATGGATGACAGCTAGGGACTACTAGGTGCTGTAATCTTGGACGTGTGGGTAGTGTAATCGATAACGGCTCAGAATTTAAAATTAAAAAATCGAGTTCCAATTCCAGTTGGGTTCGTTAATTTCACACCCGCAAATATACCCTTATTGTATGAATCCACCTCTACTTCGTTCAGCTATGGGTTAATTAATTAGTAAAACTAAATCATTATTATCTCCCCGCAAAAATACAATCAAAAGTATTTCCTTGCTTTAAATATCATGCAAAAGGGTTGGTTAGCAGTAGAAAACGATTTTTTATCAGTGGTTAAATTTTAAAGCCCCTAAAATAAAACTGCTCCCATTTAAAGTTCATTTCACCAATCATCAACATGGCTGACGCTAAATTCCAGCAGGGTAACACACTGCGCCTTCTTGGCCTCACGTTTTTCACTAACTTGAAACTTCCGCAGGGAATGTTGGGTCATCCGAAAAATTTTTCTCTCGTCAGAATCCATCGCGCATATTTCCAAATCTACCATTCGTCCATGCATTGAATATTGCTGCCATATTTAGTCCGGTGCTCCTGCTGTACATTTTGAGATTCTTGACAAAATCTAAAGAAGTTGTAATCGATCTGTCATCTTGTCTTCAGTCATTTTCTCACCGACGTGGCGTGACTTCCATCTGTCTTTTCCATAAATATTTTCTTGGCAACTTGTTCTGACGAACTTTTTCTCCCTGGTACCTCGACTACATGAATTTAAGCGGGCTACTAGATTGGTATCTAGGTCCCACCCGTTTGAACTCACTTGATGCAACCGCCACTTTGTTATAGTGGAACACACCTATTCTATAGTTAATAGACTCTCCCACCTATAATAAGTAGGACTAGTAAGAGTAACGAGGGAGTCGCTCAGTGGTTCGGTCTGAGTTCAGTCTGAAGTCGGACGACCGGCTGACCGGTTGAACACTCCGCCTTCGGGCGGGGAGGAACCCGAACGAGGCTACGCCGAAGGGCGGAGTCTCTTTCGGGGAGGTAAACCGACCCTGAACCCGTTTATACGGGTTCAAAGGGCATATTTTTGCCGAGCCCACGGGTTCGGAGATCCCACGTTAAAGCGGCCTTGTGCTACATGATACCCTCGTGTGTGTGTGAGGGGGGGGGCTAAATACTGTCGCTCAGTGGTTTGGTCAGTCAGTCGATGCCGGACGACCGTTAGTCGGATACTAAAGTATCAGCGACCACAACTAGATTTCTCTGCGTCATTACCTATTATATGAAGTTCCTAACGTTTTGTACAATACAAGCCTCCACTGTGAAACCACTCCATAACACACTTCTACCACAAGAATTTTTTTTCTCGCATTTCTCACATTTGAATCCACAAAAGAGATGGAGTAGTCACATTGGTAATCAGGCCAGAGTAGTCAGAAACAGACATTATCATCCCCCTTCCCCATCCATTAAAAATTCATTTAACCACCGTAATGAAAATTTCCTACCCGTCATCAGCATAGCTGATGCTATATTCCTGGAAAACAACACACTGTGTCTTCTTGGCCCCACGTTTTCAACTGACTTGAACTGGAACGGCTACATAAAATCAATAGCTGCATCTACTGCAAGGAAAGTTTGGTCACTGTGTTCTCCTCAAATCTATCTTGCACATTTAGAAATCAGCCATTTTTCCATGCATTAAATGCTACTGTCATATCTGGTCTGGGGCTCCTGCTATTTATCTTGAAGTTCTTGACAAAATCCAAAGAAGGATCTGCAATGTTATCGAACCTTATTTGGCAACTCGACTTTAGTCGCTTTCTCACCCACGTGTCTTTTCCACAAATATTTTCATGGCAACTGCTCTAACAAGCTTTTCTCCCTGATGCCGCGAATACATTAATTTATGCACGATACTGGATTGGCGTCTAGATCCCACTGTTGAAATAGCTAAATACAACCGCCACTTCTACTCCAAGTTTCTTTTCTCGCACTTCCCGCCTGTGAAATCCCCTTTCCGTTTAGTTACTTCGCTGATAAATACAATCTTCAAAAATTTAAATGCAACGTCAATCGCCATCTTCTGTGTCCTTGAATCCCGTTCATCTTATGTCATTTCCTCAAGCCTTCCTCTACTCAGTCTTTTTCCCACTTTTTTTCGCTTTAACCCCCCCTCCCTGCGTACTAATAGCATCCCCGCATTGCTTAGGGTGAAATGATTAAAAAAAATCAATCAAAATTCTGCACTAATATAAGTAGAAACAAACATTGGGATTACCTACCAAAACATAAATTTCTGCACAAGATAATTTTTAATTTTCTTGTAGATGTCATTGTTGTCAACTAGAAAATCGCGTGGCCGAGTGGTTAAAATGTTCGTTTTTCTGACCATGAGTTCGAATCTCACCATGGTCGATCTGTCAGGAAAGAGACTTACTTATGTTATCGGACAGCGTGCCAGCACTTTTGGAAAGTGTCTGAAAACCATACCATGGGTTGACCCAAGCTTTGTGAGTGAAAATGCGTAGACAGTACCCCCGGGGGCGGGGTACAGCTGTGCTAGCACGAAGTCACAAGTCATCGTGACTGAGAGTTTGAACATTCTGGCCTAGTTCAGATTGTTGATCACGCAAGATAACACGCTCTCTCCCAGAAACTGTAACTAAGGTCTGCTCAGCATAGTTGCAGTATAAATCATCTGTGGATGTTGAACAAACACAAATGTGCCTGAGCAAGCGTCTGCAGTAGGGATTGGCTGCCCCCCCCTAGTGTACGCGTATCCTCGAATACGAGTGGTCAGCTATACATACAAAATGATTTAAAAAATTAATGTCCGTTGACAAGTGCTAATTCTGTTTTTTTTTCGTCAAAATTATATAACGCCATTACCGAATCTCATTGACTTTCAGTGTTGGGCGATCTTCTAAAAAATGGTATGATACAAAATCCTCATCTATTCGAGTTCAGTCAGTCTAAAAATGCCAAGTTATCGAAAAACATCAAATAGGAAATGCAGAGAAATCCGCCCCGCTAACCAACACAATTAACTGTGCGCCTCAGAGTGAGAATTATTTTCATTCATTTTTAAAATTTTTAATGATTCACCCAATACAACACTCAAAATCAAATTATGGAAAGCCCTAATCGCCAACGTTCTCAAGTCTCATGGCACATGTTTTTAAATAATCAATTCACCCAAAGCAAGGCGATAATGCCACTAAGATGCAAGGAGCTACTAGGAACGAAAAAGAATGAGAAAACTAAATCCTAAATAGGAAAAAAAGGGATAAACCTCTATTCCTGTTCGAAAGACCGGGAAGAAGTGTCGACTGGACGATGAGAAAAGCAGATGTCTCCATGTAGTTCCATATTTTTTTTAAGCGTTTTCTTTTGCTCAGATATTCTGTTCAGTGTATTCTTTGCGTCCATCAATAGAACCACATCTTTGACGCTTCAAGTTTCTTCTTGAGCTGTGAGTCTATAGCCTTCACTACCGTACAGGTAATTCATTACCATAACGAAATGAGGAATAATTCTTTTAATGAGACCAGAGCTAAAAAGTGATTTATTTTTGCTCTTATTCTCATACTTGTAGATTACCCGACATGCACATTGTAAACATTTCCACTAAATAAATGGGAAATTACATTCCTCCCGCCATAATATCCACTCACTCATAGCATTAGTTTTTACTTCCCAACGTAGAATGAAGCCGTCGACTTTAGTCCAATACCAATGATTAAACTAACGCTTAACCTACATACCACAATAGTAGAATGGTTCATGGTTGGCTAGGCGTTGCCAATACGCTTACATACGCACACTAACAATCTCTTTCGCCAAACCTTTTCCTTTTTCTCTAACTCACTCACTTTCTTTCATCCCATCTCCAGTTCTTTCTTTTATGTTCTTTTTAGTAGTCTTTATCTATTTCCATCTCTGTTATGGTTTGTATCTATTTACATCTACCTCTAAAATTTTCTGTGGCCGTTTATCTATGTCTGTCTGTCTACCCGACAGTCTCTTTGTCTGTCTGTCTGTCTGTCTGTCTCTCTCTCTATTTTTTCTTTCTTTCGTTTTGATTTTTTTTTTTTTCATGCTCTCTTTTCTATCTTGTGGATTTCACCTGTTCTCGTAATGAATCCCCACCGCATACAAACTTCTATTCGATGCAATGTCATCCCTTGTGCAGAAATAGAAATGGTTTATCGAGCTGTTGGCGCGAACAGCTTTAAATACATTTTCGGAAGAGAATCTAAAAGTGGTTGCTAATGCTTCCTGCCATTACCAGTCGTACTCTACAATTCGAAATGTTGTTCATTTTATTCACCGATCGACAGTTCTTTTAAACATTTTAAATTTGATATCAAACTTGTTTAGATAACTTTTACAGAACGAAATATCTTAAATCTATCAAAATCCACGTTATTCTTGTTTTTTACGGGTTTTATGCTATGTTGTTAGAAATTATATCAGAATGTGCTGAGCGTCTCGCTGTGGATCAATGGATGTTTGGCGAATCATAAAAACGATGTTATGATATCGATCCAAATCTGTGACCTTGTGTCAGACAGAGTCAAATTCCAATACGCACTGAAGATTTGTTGTATTAAATGCACTAACTTCTGTTCTTTTCCCGTCTGGCTTTCTCCATTAACCAGCAAGTTTTCATATGAAGAATAAAGAGATTTAGATTTATGTAGGT